CCTCCGTATGCTGTACAAGGTTATGAAGAGCTCCAGATTTAAATTATTATCATTTATAGTACACATCTAAGTTTTATACTGTTGACATGTTTGGTTAAATCATGTCATTCTCTCTTTTTCTGGAGCTGTTCTGTTTCTGCAGACCAAAGGTGACTAAAATTTGTGCTCATTTGATCCCATATTATTGATTGATCATTGCTTTGTTCACAATATTTGATCGTCATAGATCTAATTGATGCTCAGTCTCTTTCTGTATTTGCTTTTGTGTTTGTTTAAAAGTAAAATTTTATTAGTCTTTTATTCTGTGTATGCACAAGAAAGAAGATTCTTCCATTTGTCTTTGGGAACAACTCACTGCAATGTTGTTTTGCTCTCTTATGGAAACACTTACAGATAAGAAATCATTTTCCTGCCACAGACCTTGCGAAGTGTTTGGACTCGTAGGTCGGCGACCTGTGTGAGATACAACGGACTCACACTCTCTGGTCAACTGTGATAACCCTAACCCAGAACAAGACCAGACTCGACATCCAGCCCTTAAGGACACAGCGTCTGCCTGCTGCTACTTATTTAGAGCCTGTTTACTCAAACCGAGGAGGCGTTCTCTTGTTTAGGGAACGTTCAGCACATCTCTTTTGTCTCCTGAGATCAGTTTTAAACACTATGTTCTGACTTTATGGATTCTTAAGTCAAACCTGGGAGTTCTGGTGACTCAAAGTCAACACGCTGCCACGCAGTCATTAGGGGGTGATTTGTCATTTGGAAAGTGGCAGCTTTGGTGTTGTAATCAGGAACTGCTGGTGAGTAAATGACTAACAACAATGTGAGGGTTTCCCATCCTGCCTCTGTGGATGGATGTCTACAGATCCAGCTGTATTTGTTTACACCTCACCCCCCTTTTATCCAGATGTATGCAGATACACATCCTGTGCTCATGGCACCAGGACTAAAATCACTCCTGGATCGCTTAGATCAAAGACAGCACATGCCTCGCTTTATGTGAGGAGCGACTGAGACAAGAGTGCACACTCACAAGCTCCCCTCCAGTTCCGTTTTACGGCGACACATCAGCATACACGCCTCTAACAGGCTTCTTTTCTTAACGACCCTTTTCCCCGAGGTGAAATGACTTGCTAGACATGTGGTTGAGCCTTGGTATGCTGCTGGTATGCCTTTTAAGTGATGGTTTCCCTCCTGGGGCAGCAAGGTGGAAGGAAGCACAGCAACAATACACCTTGGAGGGGGTTGATTTGTTGATAAACCTGGGATCCAATTCTCATGAATCACTCCTGTTGTGAGCTGTGATTTTCTCTTTTCAAGCCCATAATCACAGGTTCAGATAGTCTTTTGTTGTTGGCGTGTTAATAAGATCCATCAGTGGTCCTCTAATCACAACATTGTGTTTGATGCACCTGAAGCATGAACAATTATCGGATGTGTGAACCACGTGAACTGTCACCTTTGAAAGGCTTGGCATTCCAGAGGTTTACGTTCAGATCAAATCTTGACCCCTCCAAAACCTTAAAGATCTTAAGTGACCCTCAGCCACTAGCACAACAACCCCCCCCCCCCCCCCCCCCAATTTAATGTGTTCAGATTTATGCGTTTTTCGTGTTTGTTAATGTGTATTAGAAGTGGCAGCCATCGTGAACAGGGTTGATTCCAACAGTTAATCAGTTGTATTAAGTAATATCCATGAAAGGTTTCATGAAAACGAGTGGTCCATTAGTTATTTTGCTAACAGACAAAAGGTGAATGCTTGACTAAAGCTGCGTTTCCACTAAAGGAGTTCTGGGAATTTTCTGAGAGGGGGAAGGTCACATGGACAATATGATGCCTGGGTCCTCTCAGCAGAATTTGAGCTTTAAAGACATTGCTAAGACGTTAGCATACCACGACTGTTATGACACTGATCAATGATGAGCGCCAAAAGGCACCCACGGACATTAATAACTAAGTTTTATTCTGTTGAAGTACGCCGTATTTTCTGCCGTTCTGGGGGTTTGGGAAAGCAGCTGCATGACGTAAATAGTTTTTTTTTTTTTTTTACAGTGAGACCAAAAAGTGGAATAAATTACAGTGTTTTGGGGAGATTTCAGCTACATTATTTGGGGTGGGAGTTTACCACCACAGGGCACATCCGGAGTGCTTGGAGCCTAAGGCCCTGTCCACACGTAGCCGGGGATCTGCCAAAGCGTAGATATTTTTCTACGTTTTGGCCTGTCATCCACACAAAAACCGATCTTTTTAAAAACTCTGGCCAAAGTGAAGATCTGCGTTTTCTCCGTTTGGGGTGTCTGTGTGTGGACAGACAAAACCGGAGTTTTAAGGTCCGCAACGTCACTTTCCGCGACAAAAAAATGCTGACATCACGTGTGTGACCTGTGTTTACACTAGCCGACAGCATGGATGCCCTCAGAGCTGCGCTCGCTTTATCAATTGTCCAAGCGCTTTTTGCTTGTTTGTTTTTGCAAGTGGAATTACTGCTCCTTGCAGAAGACCACAGACGAAGGACGAGGTTAAGATGGGGGAAGTACTGCCGCCTACAGGTCTGGCATGTCCTTAACAAGGTATTTATCCGAGTACGTGTGGACAGTTTTTCTTAAAACGAGGTGGTGTGGATGCAAGTTTTTGGAGGGGCGGATATTCGTTTTTTAAAACCCCCGGCTACGTGTGGACTAGGCCTAAGCCAGACATCCCTGTGTTTACCGTGCTGCCACCGCCTATGCCACTGGCCACCCCAACTGGACAGAGAAGGGTGATGAGAAATGCCAGGACCTCATTGAACAGCTGGCCAAACAACAGTCTACACGAGGCATTTAGGAACTTAGGTGGTCCTACGCTCCAGCAAAGATCAAGAAGGGTAAGTCGATCATAGGAGAGTCAGGCGGGCATCAGCCGGAAAACAACTCAGAAACATTATAATTAACACAAAAAGTTGGAGTAACAAATGGCAAGCCAATACAGCCGGCAGCATCTTAGAAACAGCGATTTTAAGGCAGCCTCAATACTGCTTAATTTCTTTTTCTTCTGTTCTACTTCTCCTACAACTCTTCCGACTATACAAATGCCAGTTGTTTGGCGGCGTCTGTGGTTACAACCACTCAGCACGTGTTAACAAGTTCTACCCAGCAACTCAACCGGGCCATTGCTGAATACGTACCCCAGTACAGGTACTTGCTTAGGCCCTGAAATGGCCTGGAAGGGGGTCCTGTTGGGTCGGCCCAGTGAAATGGAGACGTGTATCAAAGGTTTGATGGTGGAAACGATCCTAAAATGGCAATGTTTCGACGAAAAATCTAACACGGTCCAAAGGCACTGGAATGAAGGTTGGGAGGGCTCTCGGCTACTACCATCCTAGATTTTAGATCAGTATTTAAAATCAGCTGAATTACAGCCTTTTGTGTCTAATATCAATTAGCCATGGCAGCCATCTTGCATCATGTTGACTCCAATTAGTTGTCAATGTGCATCCAAGTAAAACATTCTGAGAATTGGTGAAACCAATATTGCAAAATGTAAAAGAAAATTTTGCATTAAATAGAACTTTCTTTTAAAAGAGGCGTTCCTAATTTTTTCTCCAACCGACCCACACGTCTCACCGGTCCTGATCCTTACAACACTCGACTACACCCCTTTAAACACTTCCTGTTTTAAATTTAACCAAGCCTCATGGGTGAGATGAAAGACCTCCAGGATTTACAAAAAGATTCACCTGCCGTCTCTTTCAGCACTTATGAAGTCTGTGGTGAATGACTCGCTTTTGGCAGCAGCTAGCTGGCTGTTTTTGGCTTCACAATTTGAGTCCTGGATGTAGCTTGTTGCAAACAGTAAAATGTGGACCTGGATACATTCAGTATAGACATAATTAACATGTTTGATGTTGTTCATGTCTATTTTTGGGCAAAAAGAGTGAATGCAACTGTACTTTTTAGTTACAAAACCCTGCAAAACCTCAAAATGTGTGCCAAATTTAAGTACAGCAGCCCATATTATGCCTTTTAAAAATGTATTTTCTCCTTGTAAATACACTTCACACTAAGATGATGGAATTTTGTGAATCATTGTCGCAAAATGAAATCAGAGAAGCTATCATTGTAGATTAAACTCCAAAGGCAATGAAGTAACACCTGGAATAAGATGAATTTATAAAACCTGAAGCTGAAAGATGTGGTCCAATAGCTCAGTAGCAATTTTAAAATGATCTTCTGTCAGGAGAATGTGCTAATATTGTTCAAAAACATTTGGAAATTAGAAATTTCAACAAACTCTACAAAAGTATGATCATTTCTCTTTATGTTAAAAATAAACACAAAAATGCTTACTCATGTTTTCAGGTGCATTCAAAGTTACACTCCTCTGCATCATTTTACTTTCTAGCAATAATACAGAATATTCTGTGTTACCTGGCTAATTCTGTGAAAGAATAAATTTAAAGCAGGTTGGGTTACGGTTAGGTTCAGGTTTTTGATGAATTTCTACATAGATTATTTGTCTTCTTTCAAACTCAGCAATGTGTTCTATTTCTAGTTAATATGGTGGTGCAACAAGCCTAGTCTTAAAATAAGTTGGGGGCTTGTCCGGGATCCAACACTTTCAGCCATCATGATTGGTTGTGGTAAAGATTTTTATAAATGAAATGATAATATAATTACAGTCATTGTGTAGTTTTTTTTTTTTTACTTACATTATGTGGTAAGGTGGAGAAACGAGGGCCTGGGCGGGATTCGATCCCCAGACTCCCGGGTGAGAGTCACACGCGCTTTCCAGTCATCCAAAGGGACATCCCCTTGGCCAAGTAGCCAGGGTGCATGATCAATCGGGACACTGTGACAGGACGCTCACACTGTCACATCTATATGAAAAACTTTAGGGAGATAAACTAATAAAAGAAGGATTTGTAAAGTCTTGCTGGTATAATTTGGATGGTAGACATCTTTCAGGGGTGTGTAGATTTGATCAGCTGTTTTTATCCTTGTGTCGCTTATTGTTCTGTTCAGGTGTTCCTGCTGGACTGGGGGAGGTCAGGCCTCCTCAGATTTCTAGTACAAGCCTTAGACTGTCAACTGGCTCAGCTGACCCCTCCCTCCCACAGCCACCTGTGATGGAAACCGGAGAAGCCGGCCCTCCTGGAAAAATGGCCTCATCTAAGCCACCTGAGGGGGCTGACGGCATCACGATGCCCGTTCAGGGTTTTGCTGGAGCTCCAGGTGAGGCCAGACTCATGAATTCCTGCTGTTCTTAATGTTTCTCATCATCATATCATGACTCATCTCTATTTGTAGCTTCTCCTGTTAAATCCACTGACTCCTTAAAGCCCAGTGTACCTCTGATCACAGGTAATGGTCCTCAAACTGTTTCCAGAGCCTTTCAGAGACGTTTTTAGTATAAATCATGTAATTATTTGTGTAACAGGTCTGAAAATACCTCTAAGGCCTCCACCACAGAAACCTGCCACACCTTCAGGAGTTTATGACCTATACTGAGATAATCTGTTCCTGTTATATTTGATCACTTTTCCTGTTCTGCTCCAGGTGGAGAGGTGTCCTTCTCAGCTGGTTTAACTCTCCCGTACTCTGAAGGGGAAGTTGGAATCATTAAATTTAACAAGGTGCTGGTCAATGATGGAGGACATTATGATGCTCAAACAGGTAACAAAAAAGAAGCCTCAAAATGAGTTTTAATGATAGTAAAATCACTTTTTCCTTCTTAAATTTTGATTTATTAAATAATAAAAGTCTTTGATGATACAATTACATGTTTACACCTATGATCGTCTTAGATTTGCAGGATGTCCCTTTAGCTACCAGAGCTACTCTCAGCTAATATGACTAGAAATTACAGCTCAGAATCTGCTTAATTAAATATTTATAACAAAAACTCTGGAAAGCTTATTTAAGTAAAGTTTTGTCAATAAATGTATAAAAAACTTCTACCCAGGTACTTTCACAGCTCCAGTAGACGGCCGGTATCTGGTGACGGCCGTCCTCTCACCCCAGAGAGGACAGAGCATCGAGGCTGCGCTGTCGGTGTCTGACCACAGCATCCAGAAGCTGGACTCTGCAGGGTTCCTGTCTGAAGCCGAAGCATCGCTGTCACATGATCAATGCCACTGCGGTGGTTCGGCGTTGCTGAGTTTGGTTGTTTCAATGAGGCGTGGGGACCAAGCTGCACTCATGCTGACCGCTGGAAAGCTCGCCATCTCAGACTCGCCGCAGATGTCATCTTTTAGTGCCGCACTTCTGTACGCCAATCCACTGAAACGATAGCTACTGTGACACTTTACAGCACAAACACCTGAGAATTATCTTCTGCAAGAACTCAAGGACACTAAAAAATAATTTTCCTTGAAGAGTTCACAGAAATTTGCCACACAGCTCCGATTGTGATTTTTTAAATGCTTTTTTTAAATTAAAGCATCTTTAAACACAAGATCGCTTAAATATTTATTAATACAGTACTACCGACATGAATCACACCACCTGTGCAAAAGATATTAAAACAGTTTTGATGGGTAATCAAAGTGATTCACCTGATTTTTACAGCATAATTTAAACTGTGATCACAACTATCTCCAGAAAAGACCCTTAGCAGCAAAACATCTTCATTCAAGAGTCAAAATAAACTTAATTTAACCCAAAAACATTAGGTGTGTTCTGTTCACAGTTTTTTTTTACTTTCACAGAAAGAATGGAGTAAATATTTAAGAGTACGGGTAAAAATCTGCTAAACGTTAAAATCCTGCAGCTCAAAATATACTCACAAAATAGCAGCAGCAACAGTTGTTATTTAAATCTACGTTGCAGTAATGCAGTTTTACCTTCATAAATCACAGCATGTATGTACAAACATTTCACCTTTGGAAAAAATATGAATTGGCACAAATATAAGGCTTTAAAGTGAAAAGTGAGCGGAGTAAAAGGTATGTGTCAGTTTCTACACAGTAACCGCCTCCAGGGGCTAAAAGAGCTTAGAGAACTTCCTATGCAGATGTTACCAACAGATGTTGCACTTCAGGGTTTTTTATAATGTGCACTAAAGGAATAGTCCAAACAAAGTCACAAACTCCTCTGGAGTCACAGCAGCTCCTCGAAGCAGACCTGAGCGATGGGCTCTCTCCAGTAGCTGAAGGAGCTGAACTCCGGGCAGCTGAAGGTGACGTTGTGCTGGGAGCTCCGTAACGGAAATACGTGCTCCACCCGCTCGCTCAGCCTGCTGTAGCTGCCAGGTATATGAGCATAAAAAACAAAGCATCAGTGGAAACATTCACTGGAAAGAAAACGCTTCGGTGACGTGTTGTTTACTCACGATGTTTTATTGCCTTTGGCCTGTTCCAGGATCAGCTCTCCTTTAGGGTTCACTGTGAAGATCCGACACACAGACACACCCACTTGTTTGTAGGCAAACACGTCCTGGAAATGGAGAAAAAAGGTCATGGATTCACTTTCATTCATATATGCTCTGATATTAAAATAAAAACAAACTCACGTTCTCTCTGTTCCCAAAAGCAGCGTAGAAGGGATGAGTGTTCGGGTAGAACAAGTTCTTGATGTCTGTCAGACATTCGATCTTAAACTTCTCTGGCTTCTTTTCTATGATTTCTCTTGAGTAAAAGAGTGCAGGATTGACCTTTGACCTTCTGTTGATACATTTTTACATTTCTAACAGTTTTAACTTCTGATCTTCAGCTGCTCTTGAAGCTAAATCACTATAATTTACTTTTTTCCTCTGTTTTATCTCCTGTATTTTACTCTGGGTCCAGCAGATGCAGCTGCTCATCTGGATAAACATTCATTAGTGAAATCCTGCAATAATCTCCTGATTTTTTTACCTGTGGAAGGCAGAGAAGAGGCTGCTGGGAGACAGCATGAGGGGCCCCTGCGGCAGAAGAGTCCCGCTCTCGTTCACCCAGTGCAAATAACCTCGGGTCATGTCCGCCATGCCGATCGCACGGGCCGAGCAGTAGAGGAACTTGTAGCCGTTCCTGCAACATTCAGACATTTACTGGTTAGGGTTTTCTCTGTGATCCGGTTGGATGTGATCCAGGAGGCCGGTTTTTGGTCGTACTCGTGCACGGAGTTGTAGAGCTTTGCGATTCCCCGGTGGGTCCAGTCTTTACCAAGCTGAGGCAGAATCTGACCAAAAACATCAGATCTGTGGAGAAAATAAGTGAAAACATACATTTGTAGAAAAGTAAAAGAAAGAGTCATCTAGAATAAAAAATATTATATTTTCTCGTACTTTGTGATGGTGCCGTCGATGTCTGAGATGATGACCTTGTCGTCCCAGTTCCACAGGTAGATGGTGCCCTGGCAGCGACACGTTCCCTGGTACTGGGTGGTGATGCTGAAGGTGACGTCATTCGGGCCGTCTCTCAGCTTCAGGCTGGACTGGAAGACATGCAAATGGTAACTAATCAAATATATCAAATATAGATTAAATCCAGATTCAGTTTATGTATCATAATACAAAAAATATTGCAAATACGGGTCTCTAAAATCTTTGAATTTTTTTTATTCATTAAAATAATATTTAACATAGGAACAGGAAATAAGATCATTTCTTAATTTTCAACTATTATTTGTGCCAGTTTTAAGGTTCAAAAGGACAAAAATGTAAATGTTCACTTTTGTCATTTTACTGTGTAAATACTAGAACACACAAAATAGCCTGGAGTTCACCATTATCATCCATTTAAGATCATTTTAAATAGACTGTGCAGAAACTGTAGGTCAAAAGATGGTGTAAAATAAGGGATTTGTTCAATAAATAGAATTTGTTAAAGACGGTAGTAATCAGATCATTGTGTTTTGATATTTCTTGGGAAGAAAATGTCGTATTTTGGCCGATTCAGACCAAAATCACCAAAAGCTCTTTTAAGGACACCCCTTCTATAAAATCCATTAGTGTCTGTAAGTAATCAGCTTACTATCCGTTCAGATGACAGACGCAGGGATTTCTTGTACGAGTGACACGAAACGGAGCCTTCCGTCTGCACGCGCTCAGTTGGGCTCAGAGCGGCGGCGGCGCGGTTCAGCTCTTTGGTCTCCTCATCGCTGGACCACTCAGCAGCTTTCTGCCTGCAGGAGTGAGACGATAACGGGATTAGAAGTGAATTAAATAGAAAACAATGAGTCAAAAACAGTAAATAATGCAGTGTCACTAACAAAACACCAGGTGGCAGCAGGTGTATTTGTCCACCTTTGGTGCTCTAGTAGTCAACATCCTTACTCAGTAAAAGATTAAAAATTAAAGTTTTCTGCCTCTTATAACTATTATACATCTGTTTATTTACTGTTTCTTAATGAGTTCAAGACTCCCAGGACTGCTGGCTAACATGCCAGTCTGTCCTCTGCGGGGTATGTTTACCCAACACAGCTGGTGTTGATGTGCGACTGAAGCCCTGTGAGGACCGACTCACTGTGTTTCTGCAGCCGGATGGAGGGCAGGACTCTCTCTGCTCAGAGATCCCTGTCGCTCCAGCTTTGTCTCAGACGATAACTGAGGAGAGAAAAAAACTTTAGATGATGTCAAAATCTAGAAATAGCCACGAAAAGCTTCTTGTGCAAGAAAATTCATAACAATGCAAAACAGGTTGCGTGGCTGCTGATTCGGTTTAGCAACACAATCCTCATTTGCAATGCAAAGTTTTTTTTTTTGTTTTTTTTTTTTACTAGATGGGACTCTTGATGTTCTCCATGTCGCTTTAATGATGGAGGCAAGATTCACACCTGTTTTGTGATGCTTTTCCTCCAGAACCACCATCTTCCAGACTTTTTGGGCATTTTGTCCTTTACCCAGGCCTCTTCTGTAGCCTGCCGTTTAAATGATGCACCTTAATGTAAGTTATATGTAGATCCAGTCACTCTGAACACGTCAAACTAGATGTTACCTTTGGTAGGTTCTTCTGGAAAGCTTGCATACAAAGAATTAACGGTGCCGCCAGGGTCCAGTTATAATATCTGATTTAAAAAAAGTAATTTTAATCAGCAGATTTTACAGAAATGATCAAATAAAATGAAAAGACTCACCGGTTTGCGATTCTGACCACCAAGTTGGGATTGTCGATGACGGCTGGATTCTCTGCAAATTCATTGTAGGTGATGATGTGCTCCATGAATTTTTCTGGAGGGGAAAAAAACCCATCTTGGATCTGACGCTTAGAGGGATAGTTCTGATCGTGGAACAATAAGTATCTTACCTGTTTTGGACAGCTCTTCGAACAGCCTCAATTTGGAGAAACAGGGTTGAACTCTGACCAGATTGATGAGCTAACAGTTAGGCAGGTAATGCCAAAGAGGATGGCTGCATTCTTAAAACGACTTCAATCGTATGGTGAATGTTAACGTAGCACTTCCTGTGCAACCAGGGGCACTTCCTGCAGAAAAATCTTCTACTTCTTTTTAGCCAGGATAACATTTTAAAGCTAAATTAAGATTTACCTGAACAGCTACGACACTGACGTTGTTTTAAAGAGCAAATTGCAGGTAATTTTTTTCTAATTCATTTAAAATGCTGTCCAAAAAATGCTATTTAAAAAGCTTATTGTGGATATTTGGTTTTAAAATACATAACAGCAGAGTTTTTCTAGTAGAACGTGGCTTTTCTCAGCAAAGCTTGTTTCTAAATGTGAACCTCTGACGTAACCAAGGGGAGTTAGAAGCTCGCTGCCTCAGCTCCGTGTGGAGAGTGGCTAGTTTTAGGGTAGAGAGGTCATGTTATCCAGTCAGTGTGTGTTTACTAGTTTTGGATTGTGTTCATGTTGATAAACTATAGTGTGTGAAGGCTGTACCAACTCCAGCGTGTCTGGACATCGAGTCCACGGGTTTCCAGACAAGAGAAACAACGCCTCTATTTCCGTGCCCGAGGGCGTTTTGTGCAGCTGAAAAGATGGACTTCTGTAGCCCGCATTGGTCGGTACCGGGTCAGGGAGGTCCGTGCTGGACTCCGGAGACCTGAGGCGGGGTTTAAAAAATTAAATGTGGATTCCTGGAGCTCAGATCACCGTCAGAACCAGGTCAGAATCGACCACCAGAAGAGACGTGCGGCTCAACGGGCCAGCTGGTTTCTGGGTCGGAACCGGATCAGAACCGCCACACCGGGAGAGGATGCGCGGCTTTAAAAAATACCAGCTCGACGGTCTCGCTCGTGTTTGGGTCAAATCCAGCTCACAGAAGCCCACATGAGCTCCAGAACCGGATCACAGGCGTCTCTCTCCCTCTCTCTAAGCTAAACTACGTTACGTCAACGGATATTAGCGGGTATGAGACCGCTGACAGATGCTCATTAGTATTAATATTATATTAACTGACCGATACTATTTCAATTGTCTGGTACACGATAGTAATCTGTACTATATTGTGATGTTAGCACACGAGTTTAAGCTAACGTGGTTAACTCACCAGACACCCGCTGCTCCCCGCTGCTGCTCCTCCTTAATCTCTCTGCTTTGGCCGATCGTTTCTCCCTCTGGTTTGTCTCTGCCCTCTGGGGCGTGCAGCAAAATCATAACTTTATGGTTTTGGTCCATCATAAGTATAACTGTAAACATTTAAAGTTTCCTCTGTGTCAGCGCCGGCATTATATTCTATATTTTTCACTGGATTAAGCTAACAGGAATCCCTCAGCTGACTTCACAAAAATGACTCTAAAAGCCTAAATAATTTATGTTTGTGTAAAAAAAAAAGTTTAAAACGAGTTTCTAGTATGTTTCTCGAAACATTGGTTCATGGGAGTCTCTAACATGCAAGATGCTCTTTAAGACGGACAGCGATCCACTTTGTTCTTGGTCCTGCTCAGACTAGCCATTAGCACATCAATCAGCTCAGAATAAAACCATTTCTCCAAGCAGGTCATTCACAGAGCTTGAAACTGTGACATGAACATAAACTTCCAACTGAATCCCACTCTTAAGAGATCTAAATGGTCAGATCATTTTAATTAAATCACCTTTAGAGATCTCAGAGTTCTCGCCCACGCCTCCACACAGTGACAGTGTGACGTCTGGCAGGTCGCCGGGTGAGTCGGACAGACACTCTGTCCCACTGTCTGCCGCGGCGCTGCCCACCGACTGGGATCCGGAGCGGCCCGTCTCCACCCAGTGCTTAGGAACGTGCTCGGACTCACTGGAACATGGACAGTTTCAGGTATCTCAGTCACACATGAGCACAACCAGCTGCTGGTAGATTTAGACTCTAGGGGACGGGTACCTCTTGGGGAAGTATCGAGCAGCAACATCAGGTTCCAGAGCGATCAGGTCTTCTAAATAAATATCTTCAGGCCCCTGATGTTGGCTCCTCTTCCTCACAACTTTAAGACATGGACAGAAAAGAAGAATGTCAACTTTCACTTCCTTGTTCCTTTTTCCAGTGATGTGTGTGAAAGCAGAGGAGCCCCAGACACAAACTCGGGCCCAAACAGAAACCACATCCTTCCTGACAACATTCAGACTCGCAGAGAAAGTCAACCCAAAAATATTTTCTTTACTGCTTTTAACTGTAAACTTTTTCTCTCATTTAGTATTTTTTCAAGTACATTATCTTATTGCTCACATTTGCTTTGTTGGATTAAATAAATACATCAGCGGTGTAAGAAACAGAAAATGGTGTTACCCTTCCTCTTGATGGGCAAGTCTGTGGTCTTAAGGGAGGCCTTCACATCTGGACCAACAGCTGGGGGGTCTCCAGGCTCCTTGTTTCCCACACAGGCAGCAGAGCTGCTGTCTATGCGGTTGGGAGGGGAAGATGTCCATCTTGGTTTCTGTACAGCTTTTGCATCGAAGTCAGAGCTGCTGGGACTCGTCTCTGAGGAAGAGCTGCTCGACTTTTTGTTTGAAAGTACTGACTTTGGTTTGGAAATGTTTGTATCATGTGAGGCAGCTTCAGGGGGCTGCGGGCTGCAGCTGCACTGATGAGGTTTGATGGTTCGTGGTTCTGGTTTTACCAAACTGCATACAGAGTCTTTCATACTCGGCATTGATCTGGACTCGTCCGAGGCCTCAGAGCTGGGAATGACTCTGAAATGTGTGTTTTCAGAGGGAGTGATGGTCAGCGTCTTTGGCTCAGATTTGTCCTTTTTGCTCACCTGGAGGCAGACAGGAAAGGTTTAAACGTGTCATTCTATACCTCATTTCTTTCATCTTCACTATTCTAATTGGACTTAATCAAAGGTTTTTCTGAATCTGGAGATTTTTGAAAATGTTTCTTTGGACTTTGTAAAAATTTGACTAATTTCCATCAAATATTTTTCTGGGGCGTTTGCAGGCAAGTGTTGGTTCAAAAACACATTAGGGTCCAAATTAATTAGCAAAACCTATTGAAAAAATACCACCTCAGAATTTGGCGGGTTCTGCAAGAGCTGCTTAACAGTTTAAATTAAATCTGTGTCGTTCAAGCAGGGAGAAATCAAAAACCAGCAGGAAACCTGCACTCGCAATGCTAGCACACCCTTGCCATGCTACAACGTTACAAGCTAGGTTGGTGTGCAAAGCTGATGGAGGCACATCTGCGCATCCTCGTGGTGCATTCTAGGAACTGGGCAAATTCTCATTAAATGACAACTTCCTCTCTCTCTAGGATACATAAATCCATTGGTCAACGCTCTAGGCTCGCGTAAATTATTCATTTCACTGTAGAGGCCAGGGAGGGACAAATTTAATCATTTTAAGTTACTTTAGGATTCTTAAACTAGATGAAACTAGAGATTTTTGCTGGAAACGTGACACAGGAAGATAAATCTACCATGTTTAAAGACACAGTTGGGAGTTTCGGCTAGCTTTTAGCACCCCCTAGTGTCCGTTTAGTGGAATTAAAAGTGAAACCCATCTCCTCCCTGTGTGTTCATCTTTTTAACACCTTAATCTAACAGCTGAAATGTCTCCCCAGGCTTCCTTAGTGTCTACAGGGGTGATTAATCACTAACTTAAACAAATCAGCTGTGTTCATGATCTAAAACATGGAGGAATTGTGCTGGAAGTAGACTGCCGTGCCAGGCATGTCAGCTCAATTTTTTTCTAAGTCCCAACAGGCCGGCAACCAGTCTGAAGTTGCAAGTGGAATATTCTGGCCACATGGGTGATTGGGGCTGGGTGGCCTTTCATTAACCCTGTAAAGGGTAATTTTAGCACAGGTCCACAGGTGCCTGAAGCCACTCTGAAGTTGCAAGTGCGATACTCTGGCCACAAGGGGTTGTGGGGGTCTGAGCGATTTATATCCAGCACATTTTGGTTTTAACCTGCTTCAACACATCTGATTTCAATTAGTAGGTGATTAACAGGCTTCTGCAGAGCCTGATGAGCTGCTGCACAGGGGATTTAACCACTGAATCTAGTATGTTGGACCAGAGAAACCACTAAAACGTGCTGGATACCGGCCCTCGAGGCCTGTAATTAAATAACCCCGCTGTAAAGGGTAATTTTAGCACATACTGGCTCAAGAAAATATTTGAAAATATGAAAATACATATATACCAAATACAGGCCATTTTAAGTAAGTAAGTAAGTAAAAGTTTATTTATGTAGCGCCTTTCACAGATATAAATCACAAAGCGCTGTACAACATGATAAAGATCAGGGCAAATACCTCTAACCAATAAAAACATCAGAAAAACAATAGCAGTGATAAACGTAGAAAATAAAATCATGAGTATAAACAAAGTGAAGGTGTGAACCCGAACAAAGCCATCTTTTTGAAACATTTAGGGAGGGAATGCCTGGATGAAAAGGTGAGTTTTTAGATGATTTTTAAAGACCTCTACAGTGTTAGAGAGACGGAGATTTGAAGGTAGACTGTTCCAAAGTCTGGGGGCAATAGTCTAAAAGGCCCTGTCCCCTTTGGTTTTCAGTCTGGTTCGAGGAACAGCCAGGAGGTTTTCAGATGTGGATCTAAGGTTCCGAGAGGTGGTGTGTGGGGATAAAAGCTCAGATAGGTAGCTTGGAGCCTGGTTGTTAAGAGCTCTATAGGTCAGGACTAAAACTTTAAACTGTATTCTATATTCTACCGGGAGCCAGTGGAGGGACTGTGAAACTGGAGTGATGTGAGCTCGTCTGCTGGATTTGGTTAGGAGTCTGGCTGCTGCATTTTGGATGGCTTGAAGGCGTGAGAGGGAGGTTTTGCTGAGACCAGTAAAAAGAGCGTTACAGTAGTCTAAGCGTGATGACACAAAGGCTTGGATGATTTGATGAAATGTTTTCCTTTGTCCACCACTTTTTATTTATTTATTTATTTTTAGCAAATATCATAAATTTAAAGTCAAGAACAAGAAATGTTGGGAAACAGCAACGTTCAAAGAAAAACATTAAAGACCTGAGAAACTCTTGAACTAAATCAAAGGAAAAGTCTGGCTCTTCTCAGGCAAAATTTAAAAATCATAGGCACTCTGAGTTTTGGAGCTGTACCTACCCTTGTGGATTCCGGAAACTCCCCCCAGCTCCACTGCATGTGAGGCTCTGCCCTGAACATGCTCTCTGTCGGCTTCACCATCAGCTCGGAGTCACTTTTAGGAGACGAGGGCTCGGTTGTGTTCCTAAAGTAGCCCAGAAACAACAAAAGTGTTCACCCAGTCAGCTCTAATAACAAAGAGGAAGTCTTACTGGGAATGATGGAATAAACTGGGGGGGGGGGGGGGGGGGGGGATGTCCTACATGGTGCAGGGTGACCAGTCCCCATCAGAAAAGGGGTAGCTGTTCCATTCGAGGGTGGTGAGGGGGGAATGCTTCCTCTGATCCTTCATCATAGATGATGATGCTCTGATGACAGGAAACAAGTAAATGAACAACAATCTTAACAAGCAGCTGACCACAGCTCAGTTTCTGCTCACTGTCCGTTGTTTGCACGCTGCTCCTCATCAGAGCTAGAATCACACAGCTCCAGTTCTCCTCCTGCACACGGCTGCTCCTCCCTGCGTGGCTCAGCTCTGTGCTTCCTCCTGCGTCTCCTCTTCTTCCTGCCAGCCGAGGTGGAGCAAAGCTGGGTGTTGGCAGACTCCAGGTCAGGGTCGAGGGGCTGACAGGTCTCTGTCGATCCGCCACATCTGGCCTCTCTGCTCCTGATCAGAACTTCCTCAGAAGGGATTGGTGATGTCACCAGGTGGGCGGGAATAATCTCCTGTTTGAGGGAGACAACATTACTAAAAAATTCAGGTAAATGGGGTTACAGTTCTCTGAAAAATAATAAATTCTTTAATTTCTCACAGTGTTCGGTCCGGTTTCCTGCACAAAAAAAGCCTCTCCGTTGTCTCCGAGTTTCATGTGCAGCTCCACTGGCTCTCCATTAACCTCAATGTCAATCTGCACATATAAAGTTTCACAACTTGGTGCTTTAATGCAAACTTCCTCTGGTTGTAATAAACAATAATGAGGCTTACCAGAAAAACCACAAAGTGAACAACAGAAGAATAGTGACCCAGATTTACGAAAAGCTACAGAGCTGAGACCCAGAAAACGGCTCGCTGTGACATTCTATTCATGAATCAAACAAAAATACTTTATGTAAATGTGACTGCAAGGATGGTTTAGGTTGTTAAAGAGATGCCTTAAAAAAGGCATGCACTAACGATTGTTTCCTAAGACATCTGAAATCTGATCAAACTGCAAGATGCTGATATTCAACAAGCTGTAAGAATCAGGCTTCTGTCAACCAGAACATGGCTTTAAAAACAAACCACTTCCTGCTCTGACACGCTTGGGGCTCAACAGCAGAGACGTGTGATATGAAGGATGAATCTGCACAGAGTAGGAGTTTTAGTGCTGCTGCTGAAGGGAGTCTTTAAATATAGAGGATAAATAGATTTATTCATGTGCGCAGCAGAACGAGCCGTGCTTGAGATGGAGCGAGAGGCACAGAGATCAGAAAGAAAACAAATTTATTTTTAATATTAATTCACATGATGCACAGTTGTTTATTCTGCAAGAAAAGTGAACTAAACTCAGTTCATGCTGCTTTAGGCTGCAGAAAAAATCAATCACTGCTGTGTTTTTCTTTAATATTGCATACATGCATAAAATATGTTATTCTAAAATGAAATGGCATCAATATCATTTTGTTAAAATATTCTAATGACATGTAGAGTTAATGTTTAGCACTCACTACTTTCTCCCTGGAACGCAGCACACCCAGTTTTCCAAACCGGACGTGGAAAGGAGAGCACTGGAAGGTCCCATCGGGCTGCCGGATCACGATCACGTCGATGCATCCTGACAGAGTGGCCTGGTTGATCCCTTTATACAGCTCCTTCACCGTCACCAGAACCTGGCCCGCCAGCTGACCCACGTAGTTCATGGTGTCCACCTGTCAGCAGAGGCAAACTCATCATGATTTTTGTCTTTATAGGTCGCTGTCCCGATACCGAGGCGGCCGCCACTGCAAATGAAACATGAGCTGGTCCCTAAACACACCGGATCTGACCCGTTTTCTTTGAAAGAGCCCACAGCTGATTGGGATGTGATCAAGGCGTTGAGGAGAGAAGATAGTGGTCATTTGGTGTCCACAAGGCCCAAAAATGACTAAATATGGGTCAATTATCAACCTATGTTCCTGCATTTAGTTAACCAGCTGGTTTCTGCTAAATGTTTCTTGGTGATGAAAACCCAGAACCTCACTGGTCCAAACTGGGACCAAAGACATTTTAAGTCCCCTTGTCCTCACAAATGACTGAGATCTTCTCATGACATGTTGATTATTAAGAACAAATATCACAGAAACAAAACAATATGGCACCAATTCCTGGAAAAACCTTTATGACATAACATACTTTAAACCCCATCATGGTTTTCTGTAACTGCTGAGGCTTCCTTTTATTTTACATAGAAACACGGCCCAGACTA